TAAAATATAATCTTTATCGTAACGTAGCGTTGTAAATTAGGTTTAAAAGATCGCGCGAAAATTATGCGCTATTCTCTAGGCCGCTGGTGTTAAACTTACGTTAACTTACGTTAGTTGAGTAATTAAGTTAAGTAACCAAGGAAAACCATCTATTAATATATGGTTTCACTTAATTGGTTTTACTTAATTAAAAGCAATATATTGCTTAGAATTTTAGATTTTAGCTTTTAAGTCTATGAACACAGTAAGCAGTGCCGGCTTTTGGTAATAATGATACTGAAATCAATTTGTAATGAAATTTAAGAAATTATTATTGACGGCTGCCGTTTTTGTGAGCAGTCGTCAATATTATCAATACCTTTTTTCAAAGAGCAGTAAACTCAATCAAAATAAAATAAAAAATAAAAATTCTGAATAATATAAGTATGAAAATTTAAAATTAACGTTTTTTCTTCTAATTTACGAAAGTTATTTGGTGCGTTTTGGGCTACTAATATCACTATTTGTAATGTCACTTATCGTGCCCCATAATTTCAACAGCTTAGAATAACTATAAGTTATTCAATTTACATTTTTTAAATGACTTTTGTTCGTGACATACAATTGTTTTTTATTAAAGTTAATTTTCAAATTGATATCAGATCTAACGACGCTATCGACTATATACGTCAAAATAATGGCCTTTTTATCAAATCAAATTAGCAAAAAGAGACGTCAACGCCACTAATTTTTCAAAGTCAGAAACCCTTAAACATTTATTTTTTTTCATGGAAGCTAAGAGTTCTTTAGTAAACAAAGATGTTTATTGCATTATATTGAATTTTGCAGCTGGAAATTGTTCATAAAACAATCAGTAACCATAAGCAGTCTGCTGAACATAATAATGCTACCTCTATCTCTGTTAATCGAAATGAATGCAGTTCCCGGATTGTTTACAACTTTGTTAAACACTTTTAGAGTGAGAAAGAATATAAGAAAAGTGTTTTGCTTTGAGGGGTAATTGTCACCAAATTTATTTTCTTCTATTTAAAGTTTAACTATATTAATATTTTTGGATTATTTATTTTTTTAACCTATTGTTCTATTAATATATGCATAATTATCTAGGTTTATTCAGGGCCATCTTAAAGTAATCTTAAAGGGCTGGGTGGTGGGATGTATTTGTTTTTTGCCGACTAAGACCTAGAAAAAAAATTTTACCGACTAAAAAAGTTTTCGTTGGCCAACATTTGCAAACTATAAATCCAATTTTGCCAACTCCAGAATCCAATCTGCCGACTAATAAAAATGCGTGTTTTGTTATTCAAACAGGTTTTTATTAGTACCAAGATATAACTCAAGGCCAGGGGCCCTCCGGTGTCGTTGGGGGCCCTCTTCCCCATTTTTTTAATTTAAGAAAATTCTAGATTTTTTTCTTTTAAGACTTGACTTTTTTTAGGAATTGACGGTTGTGCCCTCCCCCCTCCCCCACTTTAAAACCCGTGTCGTCGGCTCTGTAATTATCACAACCAGTTTTTTTAAGTTCTTAGTTTTTAGTAGCTTTTGTATATTTAAAACGTTTAAGTTTCAAAGTATTCTTAAAAAGAAATAAACAATGACAAAATGGAAAAACCGAATACAATAGTAGAAGCTAGTAGACTTCTGATGAAATCAATTAGCTAAAGACAACCATCATGATAGCCATCATGAGCACAATTATTGACAGGTGCAACAAAATGAACAAAATGCTTCAAGTTGCTGAAATTAACTTAACAGTGGAGATGAAACTTAGGAGAAACAGTGGAGATGAAACTGTGTAACTCTATGTCTATTTTTGTTCAAAAAGTCAGATCATATTTTGACAAAATAGAAAAAGAAGCTATGACATTAGTGAGCACCGAAAAGTACTCTGCTGACCAGAAGCTTGGTGTTCTGACAAATCAATTCAAAATAACATTAACTTTCAAATTCCCAATTATAAATTAATATCTTCTGAAAGAAAAACATGCAAAAAAGGAGGAGGGAGTGCAACTTATGTTCGGAATGATCAAGCAATAAAAGTAAGAAAAGACCACTCCATTTCTAATGCCGATAATGAGGTCTTTACAATAGAAATCATAAACTCCAAGTTTAATTTCTACTTGTTATAGACCACCTGAAGATAATATTAAAACTTTTTCTAATTATCTAGAAAAAATTTTTCTCAAAATCAATAAAGAACAAAAAAAGTTATTCTGTATTGGGGACCTCAACATAGATTGTTTAAAATACAATGAGTTTCCGATTACTAAATTATTTTTTGATAATATGTTTCAACATTGTATTTTACCAATTATTAATAAACCCACACGGGTAACCTTAAATTCTAATTCTGCCATAGATAACATACTAACAAACTCATTTCTAGATACCTCCTTAAAAGCAGGAATATTAAAAATTGATATAACAGATCATTTTCCAATTTACTTTACAATAAAAAACGATACAAGAGTAAATAATAGTTTGAAAAAAATAACATATAAAAGAAAAATAAATAAATTTTCAATTCAAAATTTTAAAGACACACTATCGGCAGTAGATTGGGTTAAAGTGTATCAAGAATGTAACCTTGGGAACACAAACTCGGCATATAATATTTTTACAGATATTTTTCTAAAGCACTATAATAATCATTTTCCAATCAAAGAAACAAAAAAAATCAAAGTAAAATATTTGAGCTGTCCATGGATCACCAGCGGTATTAAAAAATCTTCAAAAACAAAACAAAAACTATACGTTAAATATTTGAAAAACAGAAATGATATTAACCTATCTACTTATAAACAATACAAAAATCTTTTCGAAAAAATTTACTACTCTAAATTACTTAAAAAAACAAATGGAGACATGAAAAAAACATGGAACATTATGAAAGAAATAATCGGGAAAAAAAACAAAAAAACAGATTGTTTACCAGATAGAATCATTATAAATGCCGAACACTTCAACAATTTCTTTGCAAACATAGGCCCAAACATGGCGTCTAAAATTTTAACTACAAATGACTCCTTTGAAAATTACCTTACAGGTCTAAATAGCGAACTAATTTTCAATGGATTAAGCTATGAAGAACTTGAAAATGCAAAAAACTCTTTAAAAATTAACAAAGCACCAGGAATTGATGAAATTTGTAGCAATGTAATAAAAAATATCATTCCGATAATAAAAAAAACCCTCTTCGAAATATTTAAATCTTCAACTATAACAGGAACCGTTCCAGAGAAATTAAAAATTGCAAAAATTGTAGCTATTTATAAAGCTGGAGAACCATATTTACTAAACAACTATAGATCAATCTCAATCCTTCCTGTATTCTTAAAACTTCTCGAACGAATAATTTATAATAAACTGTACATATATTTAACAAACAATAACATTTTAAATAAAAAACAGTTTGGATTTCAAAAACAACATGCAACCGAACATGCAATCATAGATCTTGTAAATAGCATCAACTACTCATTTGATAATAATGAATTTGTTCTAGGAATCTTTATAGATCTATCAAAAGCATTCGATACTGTTGATCATGAAATCCTGCTCAAAAAAATAGAAAATATGGCGTAAAAAATGTTGCATTACTCTGGTTTAAAAACTTTTTGCTAAACAGACAACAATGTGTAAATACTGATGAAATTATTTGTTCAAAAATGCTAAAGATCAAAACTGGCGTTCCCAAAGGTTCCATTCTAGCTCCCTTACTGTTTTTAATATACATTAATGATCTTCCGAAAGCCTCAAACAAACTTGATGCCATAATGTTTGCAGATGACACTAATTTATTTTATTCATCCCCGTCAATTACAGAACTTTTTGAAACAACGAACATTGAACTCGAAAAACTTACTATTGGGCTAAAATCTAATAAACTATCTTTAAACACAGAAAAAACTAATTACATCTTATTCCATCCAAATCAAAAAAGAAATAAACTACCAAATATATTGCCATTGCTAAAAATAAAAAACAAAAATATCGAAAGAACCATAACAACTAAATTCCTAGGTTTACTTATTGATCAAAATATTTATGGAAAACCCATATTGAGTATTTAAATACTAAAATAACCAAAAACATTGGCGTGTTATACAAAGCTAGACCAATGTTATCCCAAGAAAATCTAAAACATCTTTATTTTTCATTTATACATACCTATTATACATATGGTAATATAGCATGAGCCAGTACCCATAAATCAAGTTTAAAATCACTTTATCAACATCAAAACATGCCATTAGAATTATCTATAAAAATCAAGTTTAAAATCACTTTATCAACATCAAAACATGCCATTAGAATTATCTATAAAAAAGATAAACTCACTCATGCTGAACCTTTGTTTAAACTCCTAAATGCACTAAATGTCTATAGAATTAACATTTACAAAAACTTACTCTTCATGCTAAAATTTAAACTCGGGCTTGCCCCACCACATTTCTTAAATGAATTTTTTAAAAGCAATAAAAATAGATATGACACTAGAGAAGTAGGAAACTTTATGTACCGTTCAGAAAAACAAAACTGTCGCGTTTCACAATTTCATATCGCGGTCCCTATCTCTATAATAAACTGATATCCAAAAATGCTATTATTACAAAATTAGATAACATAAATTGTTTGAAAATTTTACTAAAAAAGTTCGTTTTAAATATCAGCAATTATTTGAACTTACACTAAACTAAAACTGAAAGTAAAACTAAAATTATAATTGAAAACAAAATCCAAAAAAACTTCAATAATATATATTAATATAAAAAATCAATATAAGTCAATAATAATTATATTTATGCTTAATAATATATTTATGTGTATTATGTGTACTACAAACAGTATTTACCAACTTTTTTATTTCTACATTTTATTATATGTGAACCTAATATAAAATGAAGTATTTTGTGAAACTAGATACATTGTAAAACGAAAATACAAAAAGTATTACAAGTACAAGCGGTTTCTTGATGACAAGACCATCTGGTCTTTTT